ACTAGGAGTTAGAAAATGGAGAGACAGAATGTGATGGCTTAGTGAATAAATGAATTTGCTGTCAGATGATGCAAGGCTTCAGACATGAATGTGATCCCTGGAACCCAAGTAAAGGTGACAAAAGAAAACGGATTCCACAAAAGTGTCCTTTGACCGCCACATATTTCACCATGGACTTCGCTTCCTCCATTCTTCCTGTGTTAGGACAGGTTCTATGGAGGAGCTGAACTGATAGAATATATATGTACATCAAGAGATGTCTCAGCAGTTCAGAGGGCTTGCTGTTTTTACAGAGGACCAGACTTGGGTTTTGGGAAGCCCGAAGCTGCTCCAGTCCAAGGTATGTAACAGCCTCTTTTGGCCTCCAGAACTACCTGCACACATGTGCCATAGACACAGACACATAAATCTCTAAAGAGGGACTGACTAGAACAGCTTACCCGATAGGGTCTGGGTAGTCCAATGGCTGTACATGATGCTGGAGAGGCCGAGAGCCCTGTCACTCCTCAATTCATAAACTAAATACCTCAGCAGGCCCTATCTGGTGTTTCAGGCTTACACGGTTCAGTCCATGTTGGAAGGCCCAAGCATCTGGAGTCTCACGTCACAAAGGATGGCGGCCACAATAGCAGTAGCAGCAGACTCAGCAGTGAAACCAAGGCAAGCAGGCAGCTCTTTCTCCGTGGAAAGCATTCCAACTGGGCTTTTAGATGCTATCCACTCTGAGGGAGGATCTCCCCCCCCCCACTCTGCAGAAGGCTATATTTTTCCCAGTAAATCCTTTCTAGAAAAGTCCTCACAGACCTGTCCACAGAGCACACTCTCTCTCTCTCTCTCTCTCTCTCTCTCTCTCTCTCTCTCATATTTATTATACAGTGTTGTCTTCATGTATGCCTGCAGGAGTCCCCTAGATGGCAGCCATCTTGATTTCCTGGTAGAGTATATCTACAAAAGTTAAAGTGATGGCAGCCGGGTAGTGGTAGCACATGCCTTTGATCCCAGCACTCGGGAGGCAGAGGCAGACAGATCTCTGTGAGTTCGAGACCAGCCTGGTCTACAAGAGCTAGTTCCAGGACAGCCACAGAAACTCTGCCTCAAAAACAACGAAAAAGTATAAGGTAGGTCTAGAGGGAATATTGGTTGCCTTTAATGGATGGGTAAGAGTTGTCTTACCAACCTCTCTGGCCTACATGGTCATCTGTTACCTGAAAGCCATACAAGCAACATGGCTTGTGGCTTGTAGAAGCCAGGACTCTCGTGGAATCCCGCAACCTACACAAGTGAAGGGATACAGAGGGAAAAGCCTTATAAAGAGTATAAAGATAGGTATAGCCGGGCGTTGGTGGTGCACGCCTTTAATCCCAGCACTCAGAAGGCAGAGGCAGGTGGATCTCTGTGAATTTGAGACCAGCCTGGTCTACAAGAGCTAGTTCCAGGACAGCCACAGAAAGTCTTGGTCATTGTTGCCACTAAGACCCCTGCTGGTGACACTGTCTTCTCCTCCAGGAATACCAGCCACTGGGGCCAGTCTGACTGACTTCATTCATGGGATCTTCTAGTAGAAATGATCCCAGCTGGCTGCCAGTATCTCACAGAACCGTCTTCCATCAAGGTGCTGGCGGTCACTGTGGATGCATAGATTCTCTCCTCCACACCGTGGACATTGCCATCCTGGCAACAAGGAGCTCGCCCAGGGGTCTGGTGTGGTGGAAGCTGGTCCCAAAAGTTCTATGTATACACAGCACCATGTCGTGTGAGTGGATATCCGTAGATCATATTTAGTCCCTATACAGCAGTGGTTCTCAGCCTGTGGGTCGCGTCCCCAACAAGGGCCACATATCAGATGCTTACATTATGATTCATCATAGTTATGAAGTAGCAACAAAATAACTTTATGGCTGGGATCAGCACAACATGAGGCGCTGTATTTAAGGCTCACAGCGTTAGGAAGGGTGAGAACGGCTGATTAGAGCACCTGAGGAGGAGAAGCAGCAACAGCGACAAAGCTACCCCCAGGAGGGATCTCACAGTGAATGAACTGTGCGGGCTCCGAAGTTCACTGCTGCTTAGTGTGAGGTGGCAGGGGATTCAGAGGCATGTGGGCAGCCTCTGTGCCTACAGGATCCAGTCCCTTCTGAAAACTAACAACCAGCCAGCTGCAGCTTCTGACGCCGAGAGCGCTGAATGGGTAGGAAGTCACTGATGGAGCTTACGTTCTTCGGCAAGCATGTCACCAAAGGTAAGATGAAGGGGTGGGGACTGGAGCACCAGCTGCTCTTCCAGAGCTTCTGAGTTCAACACCCAGCAACCACACGGTGGCTCGCAACCATCGGTAGTGGAATCTGATGCCCCCTTCTGGCATAAAGGTGTATATGCAGATGGAACACTCACACATTAAATAAATAAATCTTTTAAAAAATGGATGGAAAATACTTTTAAAAAATGTGTATTTGAAATCACTGGCCCATTCAGGAGAGAGTATATTGCTCATATCCTGAGAGCTGCCTTTCTCACTTCCTAAAGACAACTCTTACCCATCTATTAAAGGCAACCAATATTCCCTCTAGACCTGCCTTATACTTTTTCGTTGTTTTTGAGACAGAGTTTCTGTGGCTGCCGTGAAACTCTGTAGACCAGTCTGGGCCTAAACTCAGAGATCCACCTGCCTCTGCCTTCTGAGTGCTGGGATTAAAGGCGTGCACCACCAAGGCCCGGCTATACCTATCTTTATACTCTTTATAAGGCTTTTCCCTCTGTATCCCTTCACTTGTGTAGGTTGCGGGATTCCACGAGAGTCCTGGCTTCTACAAGCCACAAGCCATGTTGCTTGTATGGCTTTCAGGTAACAGATGACCATGTAGGCCAGAGAGGTTGCCTTTCGATACCCTCCATAACCGGTGAGCCCAGGGGGGAAAAAAAAAAAAAGGAAACCACAGCAGGAACAGGCTTTCTATGCAGAGAGCAAGAGCACCACCTACTGGCCTCTTCAATAACTGCAGAAGCTAAAGCATATTCTTCAGAAAGCTGGAATTGTGAACTAAGTTTCCTGGCAGCTGTGTTTGGGTCAAGAGTATGTGATTCAGCTAGTGGAGTGCTGACCTACTACTCTTGAGGCCTCGGCTTTGATCTCCAACACCACGCAAAACGTGGTGGGTCGCACACTAATCCCAGCACTCAGAAGACAGTTCTTGGTCTTTCTCTGCTACACAGTTAGGTGCTTGAGGCCTGGGTTACATGAGATCCTGCACTTCGGGAGTTTTTTTTGACAGGGTTTCTCTGTGTAGCCTTCACTGTCTTGGAGCTTGCTATGTGTATCAGGCTGGAACTCTGGAGATCTGCTTGCCTCTGCCTCCCTAGTGCTGGCATTTAAAGGCATGTGCCACCACCACTAGGCTACATCCAGTCTTTATTTAAAAAACAAAAACAACAACAAAAAGTGTGGTTAACAATACTGTCACTGAGGACCTGAGTGCAATCACCAGAACTCATGAGTGGAGAAAACTGACTCCTATAGTTGTCTGCCACATGTGCACTGTGGTGACCCTCACCCCCACCCCCACACCAATACTTTTTAAAATTAAGTTTGTGCTGGGCGGTGGTGGCGCCCGCCTTTAATCCCAGCACTGGGGGGGGGGGGGCAGAGGCAGGGGGATTTTAGTGAGTTCAAGGCCAGCTTGGTCTACAAATCGAGTTCCAGGAGAGCCAGGACTATGACACAGCGAAACACTTTCTTGAAAACCAAAATAAATAGAAATTAAACTTACTCATTTTATGACTGTTTGACTGCATGCATGTATGTATGCCAGGTTCAAGCCTGGTGCCCAAGGTCAGAAGAGGACTTGGATCCTCTGGAACTGGAGTTATGATTATGAACCACCAACCATGTAATGTAGGTGCTGGGAATTGAACCTCAGTCCTTTGGTTTTATAGGGACTGGAGAGATGGCTCAGTGGTCCAGAGCACTGGCTGTTCTTCCAGAGGACCTGGGTCCAATCCCCAGCACCCACATGGTAGCTCACAAAACTACTAGTTGCTACTCTTGTCCCAGTGGATCTGAAATACATACAGGCAAAACACTAATGCATATAAACTAAAAGTAAATAAACGATTACATTTTAAAAATTTGAAGTTGTGTTCTTTTTTTATGGCTTTTCAAGGCAAGTTTCTCTGTAGCTTTGGAGCCTGTCCTGGAACTCGCTCTGTAGATTCGCCTGTCTTGGCCTCCTAAGTGCTAGGATTAAAGGCATGCCCCTATCACTGCCCAGCCTTTTTTTTTCCCCCAAGGCAAGGCTTCACTGTAACTCTGGTCTTGTTCACTCTGTAGACCAAGTTGGCCTCTAACTCAGAGATCTGCCTGCTTCTGTCCTGAGTGTTGGAATTAGAGGGATGGGATACTACTGCCAGGCCTTATTTTCCTGAACCAGTCTCACTCTGGTAACACTGTCTGGCCTGGAACTTTCTAAGTAGACCAGGCTAGCCTTAGACTCAAGAGCTGTCTACCCCAGCTGGAATTGAAGATCTACACTACTACGCCCAGATCAAAGTATGTTTGGTTTTTCGAGACAGGGTTTCTTTGTAACTTTGGAGCCTGTCCTCTCCAGACCAAGCTGACCTCAAACTGAGTTTGTTTTTGTTTTTACGACAGGCTTTTCTGTATAGCCCTGGCTGTCGTGGTTTGTAGATCAGGCTGTCTTCTGCCTCCCAAGTGCTGGCATTTTAATGTAAAAATCACTTAGCCGCTGGATGATGCAAGTAGCATGGGCTTGACTTGGTTTATAGATCATCTTGTGAATTCCCAAATGAACTGTGTATTAGCTTAACTAACGCCTGAAGAGCTAAGCATGGTAGACACTACCTTTAAAATAAATGAGAAGTGTGACTAAGAACCGGGAAAATACTGCCCAAGGACCCTCCACAGTGAACTCACAAACAAGTCCCAACCCTGGCCCCTACTTGTTCTGCTGTGTGCAGAGCTATGGTCACAAAAATAAAACTCTGAACACATTATAAACCATCCAGTTTATTGTTCTCAGTAAGACGTAGAGCTCTGACCATGCAGACATCCGCACATTTTCTTCCTTGAGGAGCTGCCACAGAACGCCAGCTTTTAACAAGTCATCAGGTATGTCATCCGTGGAACCTGGTGTCTGTTCTCAGCCTGGTGCTCTTCACTCTCCTCACTCTGGCTGAGCTCTGTCAATGGTCACATCCCATGTCTTTATATTCTACTCCCTTGGCCCAGGAATCTCTGCTCATTTATTTATTTACCTATTTATTGAAGTGCTAGGGATCAGACGAGGGTCATGAGTGCTAGGCAGGCACACTATTCCCTAGATATGCCTCCATCAGTAACTCCATAATAAGGTACTAACAATTAGTCCAGAGGACCAACTTAAACAAGACATAATCACCCCCATGTACCATTCAAGACAAAAACGAGCCTGTGTTCAGATCCTCAGATGTTCTCAAGCCTGTCTCTACAATGTTCTTGCCATTCCTCACCACAGGGTTTCTGTCATGTACCTACTGTAACCTACTTCACATTGAGGGCTGAGGATTTTAATTAATCATTTCCTTGTCAGGTGATTTTCAACCATGCAGGAATTATTCACACCAATTTTGTGTCACCACTGTTACCAAGACAGAAGTAACTAAGCATTAAGTCATTCAGTTCTTGATGATGTTATAAACAAATACAGTCATGAATTTAATATACATAGGAATTTAGTATACACAGCACTAAGGGTCAAGTTGTTGAAAATGCCTTTCAATGTCAGAAAAGCCTGCTTGGAAATTAAAACTAAGGTGTACGGTAAACATGTAATAGTAATAATTACTAGAAACAAAATACTCAAGGCAGTTACATTCTCACCACAGAGAACTCTGCCTGTCATTTTACCACCAGCACAGGGTTTCTGTCTGTGCAGCCCCGGCTGTCCTGGAACCCAGAGATCCGACTGCTTCTGCCCAAATGCTGGGATTAAAGGCCTGTGCCACCACCGCCCAGCTGCTGCCTGTCAATTTTATAGGTTGTTATATTCCAAGAACAGCAATTTTATCCCCAAAAGTTGGTAGACCATGCTGGCTGCTGAGAACTTGGGATGAACACAGAGCATGCTTACAAGACAAATCCCACAACTGTTAACCCACCATGGTTGAGTAAAGGGGGTAAAATGTGGATGTGAGCACTCACGAGAAGACTCCTCCAACGGGAAAAACTCTGACCACATGACATTCTGCTACGTCTTGGGCAATAGCTAGGTCTTTAATCTGTGGAATTCATCTCTGAAAATCACAACAATCTATACGAAATCATTTAATATAAAATATACAAACTTCTCAGTATGAAGACCCACAGAACAGGAAGGCAATGACAACAAACGAACCTGTACAAAAGGAAGAACATAAAAGGACTGGAGACTGTAATGACAGACAGTCTCAGGACCTGCTCAAATCTACCCTTGCAAGACCCTCTCCTAACAACACTGAGTTTCTGGGTCCATTGGAGGTGACTGGCCAGCCTTCCATCATCACCCTTCCTTCGCTAAGATGACCACAGGTCACTCGCTGTCAAACTTGACAGAATTGACCTGGACAGAGATGGAGCCTCCCCGGTAGCTGCCTCGCTTCTTCTTCGTTTTTTCATGGCGGAAGGACTTGCCTTTGGTGAACTTCAGAACCTGATTGGCTCTCTCACCCCAGTCTCCAGCTGCACCTCGCTGGTAAAAAATAAAGTTAATACACAGAAGACAATACCAAGCTGAGTGGTGGTGGCACACGCCTTTAATCCCAACACCCGGGAGACCCAGGAGGCAGAGGATCTCTGTGAGTTCGAGACCAGCCTGGTCTATAAGAGCTAGTTCCAGTACACCCCCCAAAGCCACAGAGAAACACAGTCTCGAAAAACCAACAAAAAAAGAAGACAATAACAAAGCCTCACCTTGGCATCAAAGGAATTGTCTGCTACGCGTGCATCCACCTCAATCTCCTCCTCCCTGACCCTTCGGAATGGGGAAGATGCCCTTTTTTCTGCCTAGAGAAGGAAGCAGAAGATAAGATGAGATGGAGATTTAGCAGCTCTCCTTACAGGTTGTGGTGTCAGGCCAGACTGTCAAGGTGGCCCCAGGGCGTTCTCTATGGTTTACAGGCTGGGTTCTGAGAACACTAGGGAACAACATACTTTCTTCCTTTTTGGAAATGTGTTGGGAGTCTGGAGCTTAACTTTCTTAGCTTGAGGCGTCCCTGCTTCCTCTGCTGTCTCATTCCGCTTCTGTTTCTTTCCTGAATGTACAAAACAAAAAGGCAGACAGACTCAGAAGCCAAGCCTGGCTGAAATCTGCAACTGGCTCTCAGGAGGTAAATGTCTCCCCTGTCTACCTCCCTCCCTGAGTACATCCCAGGAATGGAGGACAGACAAATCCAGGGGGAGGCGCTACAGATACAGACCTGGCTTGGAAACTGCCATTTTCGTCTCTTCTTCCTCCTCGTCCTCCTCACTTTCCTTGCCTGCCTTTCCATTCTGAGAAGCTGGAGTGCCATTGGCCTTGCTGGCCTGTGGTTTAGCAGTGCCCTTGCCCTTGGGCTTCTCATCCTCGTCACTGGAACTTTCGGAGGAGCTGCTGCTCTGGGCGGCGGCTGCTTTCTTCACAGAGGCCGGTTTGGAAGGGGTTCTCCCTCCCACTGCCTTCGTCTTGGCTGGAGGCTTAGGTGTCTTCTCCTCTTCATCACTGCTGGAACTGTCTGAGTCGGAGCTGCTGTCCCCAGCCTGAGGAGCCTGTTTGGCAGGCAGAGATGGTGCTGCTTTAGCAGTCACCTTGGGCTTGGGGGTTGTCACAGTTTTCTTTGCTGTCTCCTCCTCACTGGAGCTGCTCTCCTCCTCGCTGGAGCTGCTGTCAGCCTTTCTGGTCTGAGGTTTCTGGCCACTGCCTACTGGTTGCTTAGGAGTTACAGCTGTCTTAGCAGCAGATGGCTTGGGAGTGACAGCTGCCTTGCTTACAGGATTCTTGGGGGTACTGACTGGCTTGGCAGGAGCTTCATCCTCAGAACTATCAGAATCTAGATTAAGAGACAGAATGTATCAAACTCAGGGGAACCCTGTAACAGCAACCCAAAACAGTGAGTATCCCAGTAGCCCACCCAAGGACCTGGGCGGCATTACCTGAGCTGTCTGAAGAGCTCTCTTTCTTCTTGGCTGGAGCTGGTTTGGCAGGAGCTGGTTTGGCGGGTGTCTTGGAGAGAACTGCTTTAGCTGGAGCTTTCTTCTCTTCTTCCTCAGAACTTGAATCTGGGGGGAGGGGGGGGGAGTATGACATTAGGATGGGTCCAGAATTGCACATCAACCAGGAGAGCAGTAGAAATACGGCAACCATGTACACCACCTCTTAGCAGGTATAAAGAAAGCACGTCTCTCTCATTTGTCGAGTCTCCCTATGTTCCCAGGACTCACCAGACTCGTCACTGCTGTCCCCACTGCTCCCTGCAGGCTGTTTCTGCACAGCAGCTTTCTTTGGAGACTGGGTTCCCAAGGACTTCTTTGGCAAAGAAACAGAAGGCGGTGGGACTGAACTGTAGGGACCTATTTTAAAGGTAGAATAGTTTTGAAATACGTATCTGCCAGGCATAGTGGCTCATGCCTGCAATCCTGACATTCGTAAGGCTAAGGGAAGATCACTGAGAATTTGAGACTAGTCAGCGCTACAGAGGGAAAACATTCCAAATAAACAACAAAATAAAATAGGTCTGGGGTGTTGCACACTTTTAATCCCAGCACTCAGGAGACAGAGATTTCTTTAATTTATTGTATGTGCATGCTTATCCGAATTACAGACAGTTGAGTGCCATGTGGGTGCTGGGAATTGAACCCAGGTCCTTTGGAAGAGTAGTCAGTGCTCTTAATCACTGAGCCATCTCTCCAGCTCAAGGCAGACAGATTTTTATGAGTCCCAGGGCAGCTTAGTCTACATAGTGAGTTCCAGGACAGGACAATATGGTCTACATAGTAAGACCCTGTCTCAGAGCAAACAAATAACTAAATAGGTAGCAGAAAAAATAAAATATGTGCACGGGACTAAGGAATTATCTTCTTTTAGAGACAGAGTGTCTCTGTAGCTTTGGAGCCTGTCCAGTTTTGAAACTCACTCTGTAGACCAGGCTGGCCTCAAACTCAGAGACCTAACCTGTCTCTACCTACCGAGTGCTGGGACTACAGGCATGCACCAACACCCAGTGAGGATGTACTTTCTAAGTACAGAGCCTGCCTAGCATACATAAAGCCCTGGGTTTAATCTCTAGCATCATAAAATTAAGTACTTCAATTTTTGTATTCCCTCTATCCCTTTTCTGCAGAATGTGGGTTGGGATTAATAAGTCATTTCTTTTTTTTGGTTTTTATTTTTTTCCAAGACAGGGTTTCTCTGTATTGCTTTGAAGCCTGCCCTGAAACTCGCTCTGTAGACTAGGCTGGTCTCCAACTCACAGAGATCCACCTGCCTCAGCCTCCTGAGTGCTGGGATAAAAGGCATGCATCATACCGCCTGTTCTTAATAAGTCATTTCTAACTGTGTTACTTCTGAGGCATTGTGGCTTCCCTCTTGTTTTTGGGGTTCCCCTTTTTTTTTTTTTTTTTTTTTTTTGATCTCTTTCTGGAAGAAGCTAGTTGCTGTGCCATGAGAACTTAGTTTTACAGATGGATTATACCTGGTTTTTTCTTCGTGGGTTTTTTCTGTTCTTCCTCTTCACTAGAAGACTCCTCACTGCTAGAACTCTTTTGGGTAGGGGTGGCAGCTACTTTCACTGGTGCCTTGGCCACAACTTGCTTTTTAGGTATAGTCTGCATCTGAGAGAAAAATTTACATTAGAGGAAAATACTTTCCAAAATAATTCTATCAGTCTGGCAGTAGAGGTGGTTTAGGACTATGAACCTGCACTCAGGAGGCAGAGACAAGTGGATCCTTGTGAATTTGAGGCTAGCCAGGTCTACATACTAGTTCCAGAACAGCCAAGGCTGACAAAGAAACCCCGACTCAGAAAAAAACAAAACCACCAATCTATCAGAGGAGAGATATACATCCTCTAGTCCGTTCACTTCATCCTGGATAGAGTTGCAACCCTAACCTTCTTGGGGGGTGCAGTTGGCTTCTCCTCCTCCTCCTCAGAGTCATCACTGCTGCTGCTGCTGCTGCTGCTGCTGCTGGCTGCTTTGCCATTGGCTACTTTAGGTTGTGCTCTAGCTGGTGTACCTGAGAAACAAAGTGATAGTAAGACAAATTGGCAGCTGGCGGTGGTGGTGCACGCCTTTAACCCCGGCACTCGGGAGGCAGAGGCAGGAGGATCTGCGTGGTGCACGCCTTTAACCCCAGCACTCGGGAGGCAGAGGCAGGAGGATCTGCAAGTTCGAGACCACAAGAACTAGTTCCAGGACAGCGTCCAAAGCCACAGAGAAACCCTGTCTTGAAAAACAAAACAAAACAAAAAAAGGGACTGGAGAGATGGGCCAGGGGTTTAGAGCACTGACTGCTCTTCCAGAAGACCCAGGTTCAACTCCCATCGCCCACATGGCAGCTCACAGCTATCTGCAACTCCAGTTCCAGGGGATCATACATCCTCACACTGACATATATGCAGGAAAAACACCAATGCACATAAAAAAAAAAAAAAAAAAGAGAGAGAGAGAGAGAGACAAATTGGTGAGCCAGGCAGTGGTGGAGCACGACTTTAATCCCAGCAATTGGGAGGCAGAGGCAGGTGGATCTCTGTGAGTTCAAGGCCAGCCTGGTCTACAGAGTTCTAGTTCTACAAAGCTACACAGAGAAAACCTGTCTCGAAAAACAAAACAAAAATAAACAAGCAAAAAAAGATAAATAGGCAGACTTCAAAAATGTTCTGTTAGCACAGGACCCAGAGTCTCCATCAATTTTAAGGCCAGTGAAATGGCTCATTGGATAAAGATGCCTCTCACCAATCTTAATGACCTGAACTTGAAGCCTAGCAGTTACATGGTAAAAGGAAAGAACCAACTCTTGCAAGTTCTCCTTCCTCTTAAGCTCCACATGAATGCTGTGATATGTACACAGAGGCACCCACACATACAACAAACCACTTACACATCACTTTCTCAAGTTTCTCTTCAACCTCTGCTCACAGGACTTGTAAATCACAAGCCAGCTCCATCATAAGGAAGAAACAATTATTTGTTGTGTGGAGTAAAAGCAGCAAAGAACGCACAGGACGCACAGGCTGTGATTGTTACTCAGAGAGGTAATGAAGTACTTATTACATACAAATCCTGGGGTTCTGCTGTGTTTGAGGGCCTAATTCCAGGCTGAGATTAGATGTGTACCAACCAATATGCTGAGCTAAGGAGTGCATAATAATCTCAGGACATCAAAGCCTGAGGCAGCATGAGCCCTGTTCTAAGGCCACTTGGACTATAGTGAGTCCTAACCTTACCCAACAAACAAATATCCTACCCATGCAAGCACGCACGCACGCACGCACGCACGCACGCACGCACACAGACGCAGAAGCAGGAGGATTGAGTTCAAGGCCAGCCTGGGTCTTTAGACTTTCTTTTAATCAAAAATAAAAATTAAGGGGCTGGAAAAATGGCTTAGTAGCTAAGAACATTTACTGCTCTTCTAGCACCCACATCAAGCAGCTCTCAACAGCCTACACTGTAACTCTACTTCTAGATTTGATACCTCTTTGGCCTCTGGGAGTCACCTGCATGCATATAGGACATGAACATGCTTAAGTACACACATATACACACACACACCTTTTTTTTCTTAGATTTTCAAGACAGGGTTTCTTTGTGTAATCCCCGTGGCTGTCCTGGAACTCACTCTGTAGACGAGGCTGGCCTCAAACTCCGAGATCCAGCTGCCTTTGTCTCCGGAGAGCTAGAATCAAAGGCATGCGCCAACAACACAGCTCACAGCTCCCCCCTTTTTTTTGAGACAGGGTTTCATTACACAGCTCTGGCTGTCCTGGAACTTAAAGATCTGCCTCTGTCTCCCAAGTACAGAAATTAAAGGTGTGTCCTACTACACCAGGCTAAAAGTTTTTTTAAAGTAATACATCTTTGCCCCTAGGCATTATGACTATATGCAATTCTAGCCATCAAGAGAGGCTGAGACAGGCAGATCTTGAATTTAATTGCTGCTCAGCCCTGTGACTGAAGACCAATCCATTCAAGGGTTGTGTGGGTTGCTAAATAGAAAGAAAATTTTTAAAAAAAGTTTTTCTTGCCTGGTGGTAGTGGCCCATACCTTTAATCCCAGAGCCTGGGACCTGTAGGCAAGCAGATCTCTCTGAATTCAAAGGCCAGCCTAGGATACAAAGTAAGTTCAGGACAGCCAGGACTCTTTCAGAGAAATACTGTCTCAAGACAAAAAAAAAAAACCCACCTAAAGATTTCTTGCTAAAATCACTGCCTTTTTTTTCTCCCTTTTGGGGGAGGTGGTAGGTGGGTGGGTTTTTGTAGACCAGGCTGGTCTCAAACTCACAGAAATCCACCTGCCTCTGCCTCCTGAGTGCTGGGATTAAAGGCATGCACCACCACTGCCATGGCCCAGTTTCTGGTTTCTTTCTCACTCTTTGGACGGCCCGGAACTTGGTGAGTGAAGTAAATTGGCCTTGAAGCTACAGCAATTCTAATGTGCCTGCAGAGATTACAGGTATACACCACAGCTAAGGGCCTCACACATTGGAGTCAAATACTCTACCACAGCCTTGCATGTATTTCCCCCTAAAACTCTGGTCCAGGGTCTCCAAACTTTCCAGGCATGTCTTATAGTTTCAATGCCCCTGCTTCACTTTTCTGGGTAGGTGAGATTATACACCTTGACAGCTATATCTGGCTAAAGAGAAGTGATGAACACCTGTAATTTAGCAACCATACATTTTACACTGGTCACAGCCAAGCCCCCCGGGACAGAAGTACCTGGTTTAGCTGCGGCTTTAGGCTGAGCTTTGGCTGCTGCAGCTGTCTTTAGCTTCGTGGTCTGTGGTGCTTCATCCTCAGAGCTTGAGTCAGACTCAGATTCAGAACTCTCGGCTTTCTTAGGAGGAGCTCTGACTGCCTTGGCTTGGGGCTTAACTGCCTTTTGCTAAAATAAAACAAAGATGGTGGAAAATTGCTTTAATTTCAGCATGCAGGCGGCAAAGACAGATGGATCTCTGAGTTCAAGTACAGCCAGGGCTACATAGAGACCCCATCTCAAACAAACAAAAACTCACAAATCATAAATGAGGGCAATCAGCAAGGCTCCTGGGCACACAAAGGGCACCCAAGATGCCTACTGAAAGGGCAAGAAAAAAGTCAGACATAATATACGAAGGGCTAAGCAGTGAAAAAAGTTCAACCACTGGCCTGTTCCTGACAATCTTGTCAAGAGCTCCCAACAAAACATCTGTATTTTCAGGGTCCTCCACATACCCATGAAGAGCACACGCCCCTGAGAAGAGAGTTTGATTTCTGTCTACATTTGGACCCTGTTATTCTGGACCTCAGCTTTATCATCTCCTTCAAAGAGCCCCAGAATTTATCCCATACTCAATAGTTTCCATCACCCCAAACATAAGCTAGATGCCCAATTTAGGTTTCATTTCCAGATTCCTTTGCAGCCCTCTTTACAACCCAAGCTGCAAACCTGGACAGGCTTTTTCTTTTTGTTGTCCTCTTCCTCCTCCTCATCACTGGATTCTTCACTACTGCTGCTCTCTGAGGCTTTGGCTACTGCCTTCCCAGTATGCTGAGGCAAACTGGTTCGCTTAGCAGGTACAGCTGAATAGAAAGATAGATAGGGACCCACAAGAATCACCATGCTGTCCAGGCAGGAGTCAGATGCCCTTCCTGGAACACCACACAACCACAGACCCCACACTGCCTTACCAGCCTTCTTTGCCGGAAGTCCTGGGGCTTTTTCCTCTTCCTCACTGCTATCCTCACTGCTGTCACTGGAGGAAGTCTCCTTCTTTGCCTTCTTGGTCACTGGTCCATTTGACTGTAACTTCCGCTTCGGGGCTTTGGTGGACCTGGTGATGTAGGTTAGGCTGACTTCTGAGGGATGGGGACCTTCTCAAAACAAGGAACATAGCCCCGCCCACCTAGGGGGAGAAACAGCCCAAGTGTAACAAGGAAAGCTTACTTGAGCCAGAAGCTATAGATGTCCAACAGGGAAGAGGCATTGGCATCCTGCTGCGTCTGCAAGAAAGAGGCTGAGTTGAAGAAATGTTATGACCTCTAGGTCAGATTCTATGTTACTCTTTCATCAAATATAATCTGTCAGCGACTAGTGATCCCAGAACCTAGAAGACAGAGTTAGGTGGATCTGTGAGTTCAAGGCCCACCTAGCCTAAACACGAGTTATACAACAGTCAGGGCTATGTAGAAGCCGTCTCAAAAGAGAAAAAAGAAAAAAGTTATCTCTTACTTACCTACTCAATTTGAAATGGATGTTAGATCTTTGTAAGTTTTCCTACTTGTGTAAGTCAGTAGAAAAATATTCTACTTATATATTGCCTAACTTCGAGCATACCTACTCAATTTGAAATGGATGTTAGATCTTTGTAAGTTTTCCTACTTGCGTAAGTTAGAAGAAAAATATTCTACTTATATATTGCCTAACTTCGAGCATAAAAAAAGGGCAACCTCTGATACTATTTAGCTATTCCTAAGCCTTTCCAACCATATTTTTCAAAGCCTTAGAAAGACTTCAGCAATGAAAATACAATAAAGAATATTAATTGAGGGGCTAGAGAGATGGCTAAGTGGTTAAGAAAACATATTACTCTTCCAGATGACCTGAGTTCATTTCCCTGCACCCACTAGGAGACTCACCTGTTAACTCCAGATACAGTTTCTGACACCTCTGGTCTCTGCAGGCACCTGCACTCATGTCCACCATTGCAGACTTAATAAATTGACTTTTTAAAAGGCACTAGGTGTGGTGGCACATGCCTTTAATCCCAGCACTCAGGAGGCACAGGAGTCTGATCTCCCTAAATTCAAGGACAGCCTGGTCTACAAAGCGAGTTCCAGGACAGCCAGAGTTGCTACACAAAGAAGCCCCATCATGAGAGGGAGAGAAAGAGAAAAAGAGGGGGGGGGGGGAGAAAGAGAAACTAAGAGGGTGTGGAGAAGACAAACAAAACACCAAGACCAAGTGTGCAGCCTTTAATACCAACACTGGGGAGTCCGAGGCAGGAGCATACCTGTGAGACCAGTCTAGTCTGCATGTAAGTTCCAGGCTAGCCAGGGTTACAAATGAGACATTATCTCAAAATTAAAAACAAGACAAAGGTAACCTAAGTTTTTAGTCATGGTTTCATCCTTGGAAAAAGACCACAGGTCTAGTCTTTGAAGGTGTTTCCAGGAACAATAGAACTCTCCTTGAGATGTAGACTCTAGACATTTCAAATTCCTCCATTTTATCTTGCTCTTAAGGTGGGTTCAAATTGACGAGACAGCTGTCACTCATCCCATGTTTCCTATCTATTTACAATGGGATTATTACTTTGTGTATCTTCTCTTTGTCAATCTCATGCACCCAAATTCTGTAAATTAGGCAGGGCACAGTGGCGCACACTTTTAATCCCAGCACCCGGGAGGCAGAAGCAGATGGTATGAGTTTGAGAACAGCCTGGTCTACAGAGTTCCAGAATAGCCAGGTTACACAGAGAAAACCTTGTCTTGAAAACAAAACAAAACAAATTATGTAAATTAAATGACATCCTGCTATGCTCAGGGATGTTAATACACGCCTGTATCTCAGCATTAGGAAGATGAGCAAGAGGAACAGAAGTTCAAAGCCATCCGCTACTACACAAGGGCTACATAAAGACCCTGTCTCAAACAAAAGACGGCTGCCGGGGTCATATATGTAGAAAAGTCGCAGAACCTGGCCATAGCCTATGTTTCTTTTATTTCACTACCCAGAGCTCCAGTGAAAACTGGCAGGCCAGGATGCTCACTCCTCCTACAGTATACTGAAAGCAGCCTCCCCCTATATTCATTCATTTTTTTCTTTTGTAAAAATTAAATAAAACCCTAGCCCTCATTGCTAACAATTTATCTTCAGAGGCTCAGGCTAAATTGCGAGCAAGGGTAAGGCCAACAAAAAAGTACACCATATGAACCAGGCACCGCCAATCCACAGCTACCTGTGGGACCCAGCGCTTGCCTCTCATCGTATGTTGTCAGCCACATGACCCGGGCGGGCCACGCGGGACCCATGCCTGCCGCCGCTGCAAAACTCATCAAGTAAAAGCAGTAAGAGTCCCAGTCAGACGTGGTGGGAGGCGGCGGTGCGGCCTCAAGCTCTCATCGGTGGCCAGAAAGGCCTGGCGGACCTTGGGCTGACAGACCCCAGACCTGTCCTCCTGACTCCTAAGCGTGTCGTCAAGGCCTCGGCTCTGGGCGAGCCGTCCCACCCCGGGCCGCGGACCAAACCCAGCACTCACGGCGCCTGTCGCTTTTGCAAACTTGTTGGCCACCTCCGAGAGTTGGTTATCACGCAGAAAGCCGAGCACGAGGGGATAAAGGTCGCTTGGAACCACGCGGCGCAAGCCGGTATCCGCCATGCTCCCGGTAAAACGCGTCACTACCGTCGCGCACGCTGCACGACTTCAGGACTCCGAAGCACGCTCAGGGCAGGGGGCGGGCCCAGTGTCGTCATCACGTCGCGCGGCGCGCAGCGAAAGCGTGGGGCTCCGCCTCGGAGGCAGGATGTAGGCGACGTCCATCAGCTCCTTCCGGTCTCACGTGCTTCGCCATCCTGCTAAGGGCGGAGCCCGCGGGCCGCCCCTTACGAGGGCGGAGCCTCCGCGTCAGAGATCATGCGCCGGTCTTTGGCGGGAAAACTTGCGACTTCCCGCGCGTTATCTTTGCTGTAATTTTTTTTTTAAAACAGTAGTTTTCCCATCCCCGGCTGATAGACCGACCCCACAATAATGAATGCATTGCAGTTCTCCAGTCTCCTTCACCTTTCTAGGTGTCACCGACTGCTCACATTCCCACTGACCATGGCCTCTCTTCACCTTCACTCCCTGTGACACCACAGCCCCAGGCTCAAATCATAAGAGGATCCTTAAAAGTTGCTTATTGTGTTGACAATGGTGTTAATACATCAAACTGCCTTTCAATCATACTTAGGTTACAAGACAATTATACCTTCCCTAAGAGAAAGGGATCTTGTATGAAACTCGAATCAAACGGCAATACACTCTATTAGTGCTAAAAATAACTCTCCCTAAGTCAGAGTCACACTGAATTGTCACAACTCTATGCAGCGTTTTTAGGTTACATTAGTCATCCCTCAGGAAGCAATAAAGATCCATTTCCTGTGGACACCCTTCTTTTACTTCCCTCAAAACAGGCATGCCTTTCTTTCTCCTTCAGAGAACTGTTATCTCCCTCTATCCTGTATATGCATTAAAAAAAAAGAAACCCGAAGGGCAAGGTCACACCCACCTTTAATCCTCGACACTATAGAGGCAGAGGCAGGTAGATTACTATGAGTTCAAGGCCAGCCTGGTCTACAGAGGGAGTTCCAAACAAAATGTTTCCAACACAAGCACTGTGACCAAGCTAAACTGGTGCTTCAGTGAAACTTAACTAACACAAGCTCCAATTTAGAAAACCTTTGTTTTCAAGAGTTTCTCATATGTGACAAATGCCTTTAAACCCAGGGCTGGGGAGACAAAGGCAGGATCTCTGCATTTGAGGCCAGCTTGGTTTAACAGAGAAACCCTGTCTTAGACCACTTCTCCCTAGATTTTAAATACTAAATCTCCATTCCAGCAGTCAGTCTGTTCTCTAAGCAAAGGACAAGTTCTCTCACCTGTAGTAGCTACACAAGAAGAGTAGGCTGGGGAACTGGGCTTTTAGTCCAGCCTGAGCAACTCCACAAAACTTAGAAGGAACTAGATAGATGGTTCAGTGTGTAAGTGAACCGTGCAAGCATGAACCTGAGTTCAGATCCGTGGCACTGGTGTATCAGCAGCCCCAGGGCTGGTATACAAATGACCCTAGAACCAACTGGCTACACTACATTCAGGAAATAGATCTTGTCTCAAAACTAAGGTGAGGGAGCTGGAGAGAGCGCTCAATTGTTAGGATTTACTGCTTTTCCAGAGGCTGAATTTGGATCAGGCAGCTCACAACCACCTGGAAGTCCAGTTCTAGGGGATCCCAAACCCTATTCTGGCCTCTGTAGTACCAATGGGTACATGTACATATTCAAAACACAGGATGAGAGCCTCAAAACAAAATCTTTTGGGGGGGATGTGGTTCAAGAGACAAGGTTTCTCTGGCTGTCCTGAAACTCACTCTAGACCCCCCTCCAAACAAAATCTTTTTTTTTTTTTTTTTTTTGGTTTTCCGAGACAGGGCTTCTCTGTGGCTTTGGAGGCTGTCCTGGAACTAGCTCTTGTAAACCAGGCCGGTTTCGAACTCACAGAGATCCTTCTGTCTCTGTGTCCCGAGTGCTGGGATTAAAGGCATGTGCCACCACTGCCCTGCCCAATTTTCATTATTAAGAATTCTCCATGTTGTCATTTAAGAGCCAGCTGTTGGGGCAGAGAAAGACTGTCTACAAAGCCAGGATAGCCTAACTGGTGAGCTTCAGGGCAATGAAATGGTTAGCATTCCTGAAGGTGGTATAAGAAGTTGCCTTATTGCCTCCATACACACATATACCCACACAAAATAGCGCTGAGGATAAAGTTCACTTGGTAGAACGCTTGCCTAACATAAAGTTCTGGGTTCAAACCCCAGCCCTATATAAAATAGATGTACTAAGACATGCCTGTAATCCCAGGACTTAGGTCATCTTCAGCTACACAGTGGCCCAGAGGACAGGATACAGAGATTGCCAAAACATAAAGTATTTCAAATGTCTTTGACGTTTGAGAAGTGTTCCTCCCCTTTTGACTTATTTTATGTGACAGATCTGAGAAGCGGAAATTAAATCCAATGTGATTTTATACCCAGCCAAAAGAGGGGTCCTAGGAACTCACTGAAGGTAAGCATGACCCCAAGTGTGTTCAGAAATATACTGAGTACACTTGACCTTAGAACACAGAAGGAAGACCACCACATGGGAGTTCTCTAGCGTTGATGTTTATTAGACATTCCCTCAGACCCACCTTACACAGAAATGAAAGTTAATTTGTTTAATGCCTGTTATTAAAAAACAACAAATACCACTTAAAAATCCCGGTTTAACACATTTTTATTTAACTTTTTCCAATTTCTTTATAAAACAGTCATTTCCACACTAGCAGCTCTCCCCCTAGAGTGGGGAAGGGGGGAAAGGAGGTTGGGCACCTCCAGAGAAAACGGGTGGGGGAGGAGTGCCCAGGGTTACCTCCTCAGGTTCTTCTGGGCCTGTTTCAACAATGTATCAAAGTCAAGAGAATCAAATTTGCTCTTCACAGGAGCAGGATCAAAGTCTTCCCGATTGGAGTCTACAGAGCAGAGAGGAACAAACATTACGGTCCCACACCACACTTCTCAAGCACAGGGTTTTCAAATGGAGCCTCGGCCCATCCAAGCAGCTGACGGAGCAAAACTGCCCTCTTGTGAGGGTGTGGGAAAGCCACCCTCTCACCCCACCCTCTAGGTTCTTTGTATGTCAGGTGGCAAGGCATCCAGCTTACCCTTCTGGGGAGGGGATGTCAAGGCCTCAAAGCCTCAAGCCCTCCTTCTAAACTCACCAAGATCAGAGTAACTCCTCTTGCAGAACTGCCTGCGGCCCCCAAAGCAGAGATCAAAGGGCTGCTCATCTGCCTGCCGAAGCTTATGGCCACTCTCGATGGCTGCAAAAGCCTCCTCAGCATATCGGTAAGTGACGAAACCATAGTTGTCACTAGTAGGGAAGGTGAGCCATTGGTACACAGGTTATGGAGAAGACTCAGCACCCCAGGGTACACAGGTGCTTCTTCTCATTTCCCCAATGGCCAACCCTCTGATCATAAAAAAAATGAAGGTAACCCCACACGGCCCAGCACAACAGAACACAAGGACAGAGAAGTGTCAAGGTATATGACTGTAACAGAAAGAACATCCTAACCTTAAGACCCAAGCTTACCCTTGCACACGAAAATGAATGGTGCATTCCTCAATCTCTCCAAAAACAGAGAACCTCTGTTTCAGCTCTGACCGAGTCATGCGGCCAGGTATTTTTCCAATGAAGACCACTCTTCTCTCTTCCTATGTCAGACAAAGGACAGACACTCTGTGAGCCAGAGCTGCAGCTGTCAATGACAGCTCTTGGCACAGGGTAAGGCCCCTCCTCCACAACTCGAATCTCTACTCACTATTGCACGCTCCTTCTGCAGCACCCTCTGCCTTTGGTAATGGTCACTGGAACGGTAAGAGCTGTACCTGACAAGAGAGGTCCCATCAGCCCCCAGACACAATTCAAGACTCAGAACTAGATGCCCTGCCCTCCAATCCAAGCTCATGCTCACCGCCGTCTTCGGTCACTTCTCCTCCGAGGGGACAGAGAGGGTGAACGGCTTCTGGAACTGGAGGAGGAGGAGGAGGAAGAGGAGGAAGACGACGACGAAGACGACGAAGAGGATGAACACCTTCTGGAACGTCCAGAGGAACTGCAGCTGGACCTGGAAGAAAGGACAGAAATGATGGGAACGGCGCAGATAAGTTCCACTACCTGAGCCAGGCTCAGACCTGCCTCCCTGGTAGGGAGCACAGGACCCAGGGTAAAGGAGAGCAGAAGCGCTTCAAGTTTTCTTCGAAGACATCAGATGGAAAACCCTTCATAAAACTTGATATACATTAAGTGTTTTCACAGTTCTACATGACATTATTATTTCCCTTTTCCTTGAGCGGGGGTCTCACTAGGTTGCCCAAGCTGGCAATGAACTTGTGATTCCCTACCTCTGCCTTTCCAGCACTGTGCCCAGCATGCATACTTCTTGGTTGTTGGGACTGAGGATTATATACCTAGGGCCTTCCACATACTTGACACAACTGTATTACTACTGAGTTTCATTTACATGTTTTCCACTGAAAATGGGAAAATACTTAACAAATCAGAAATAGAAAGGAAAATACAGGGAGACTCAGGAGACAGAGGGCTAGCTAACCTTGGTTTTGGCAGTTACTCTATTTGTTGGGCTGGAGCAAAGTACCAGAGTCTGAGCTATAACTGTTCCCCTAACATCTCTCAGAGCAATACTGTAACCAAGGTGAGAGCAGAGGTTACCATGCCAGAACCACTGTTCACAGCCATTTTTAGATAGGTATCACTGCTAAAACAGTGTCTCATATAACCTAAGACTGGCCCCAACACTCTGTAGCCAAGGACAATTTTACTTGTGATCCTTCTGCCTCTGGAGGCAGTGCTATGATTACAGGCATGTAACGCATGTATAGTTTACATGGTGCTGGTAATCAAATCCAGGACTTCATGCATGCTAGGCAGGCACTCTATAACTGCAGCACCGCCCCACAAGAATTCTATTCCTTTTTTTAACATTAATTTATTGTGTGTGTTTGTGTGTTGTGCCATAGCGTGTATGCAGAGATCAGAGGACAACTTTCCACAATTGCTTCTCTTACTCCACCATGTGATCCCAGGATTAAACTCAGGTCCAAGCATGCATCTGTACCTACTGAGCCATCTCACCAGCACTTAAGGGTAACCCACTATCCTGCATTAACACCAAGAAAATATCATGTATGAGCACCAATAATAATGGTATTAAGTAATCTTAGTCAAGATCAAACCTTAGTAAGTCTACCCAAGGCACACCTCAGGGACGCAGAAAACTTCAGGAATATCCCAGACACAGGATAATCCCAGTTTGCCTCCAACAGTCCACAAAAAGGAAGACAAGAGCCAAAGACAGAAACCTTCAGCCTTAATGACTGAAAGTACATTAACCCATACATAGCCTTTTCAAAGTAAACTACAAGAGAGTTCATGAGCTTCCCAAATGGAAAGAATCTAACAGGCCAACAACGCTCACCTGCGCCACCTCTTGTGGGGGGGGGAGAGGGACCTGGACCGGGATCGGGATGAGGAAGACACCGATGAAGATGAGGACGCTTCGCTGGTCCGGTTGGACCCAGAGCTGACAGACCGGCTGCTGCGGCCACGGCGGCCCTGCCAGCCCCGACCTGGGGGGCTGACTGATCTGCAGGCTTTTCGGTAACAGCGCATTGACCGCTGTTTGCCTGGGGACTCAGAGGGAGTCCTAGTGTTCATGTCATTCCGGCAGGGTGAGGCCTCAGGAGACAGCAAGGTGGATGGGGCAAGACAAGGCACCGAGGGCTCTGCCTGCTCACTGTTAGTCCTGTGGTCAAGTGGCCCCTGGGAAGTTGTGCATGGAAGCAGGGGAGCAGCTGGGCCCAATGACAAGACAGGTTTGATGGTGATGTCCTGATGGCGCTTGACATTCCATCGGGAGCCCACCTCTGGAATGACTAGGGCAGGCATCTTTTTTGGGGGTGTCCTGCTTCGGACACAATAGTCATGGTCCCCAGAGCCCACATGGACGGGACTAGGGCCATGGACCCCATCTTGGAGGCAGGCTGCAGCTGGATGTTTGGCCTCTGTAACTCCTTCAGGCTTCAGGGTTCCCTCCTGGGCGGTAGATTTAGGAGATTTGGCTTTGGCCAACAGTGAGACAGCAGCCAGGGGTTTCCATAACTGATGGGGAGGGGTAGCTGGAGGGGTGAGCCCTGTGGGGGGGAGGGAGGGAGGATGGAGATAGCAGGGTGAGATCCAGTTCTATACTCCAGATTCTGTGTATCTAGGCTGGAGACCCCGCTTCTCAGAGTACGCTAAGCATGGACAACACCCCAACTTCTCTTACTGCTGTAACTACAAAAGATCAGCCACTCAACTACTCAAACCTACCTAGTAACCAGGTTCTATCTCATTTACCTAATCATTTTCATGTCTAAATCCAGCCCTCTACCTAGCATTAACTAATGTCTAGGTTGTAACTTGCCTACATTTATGCCATAAACTTACCTACTTCCTTTCCAGCTCCATACCTGTTATCTAGATTTTTGCAACACCAACCATCCAAAACCAAGTCTGAGAATGCTTTTTCAATTGTTTCTTCAATACATATACAGGATGAAGTCCAAGCAGCTTAATAGGGCATTCAAGTGCCATAATTGGACCTCTTGTGTAATCACTTGAGCCCTAACTCTCTCTTTTGTTCCGCCACTACCCTCTTCAGCTTCTACTCTAGGTCAAACCAAGCCACTCAGTGCTGCAAACATAAAAGCTAGTTGCTTCTGTAGTTCAGTCAGGCTGCCTCATTTCCCTAAAAGCTACCATCTGACTGACAGCAGTGACGTTCTCAAGACTCAGCCAGTAACATTCTACATACCCCTCCCGCACTGCCCCTCACAGCCTACTGCTTACGTCACCTTGATAGCCTAACCGACATGCTCATTTGTTTACACATCTGCCCCCTTGACCAGGAACACAACAACGGAGATCAGATGTCTGTACCCCAATGTCTACACAGACTGATGTACAGCAGGCACTGCACACGTGCTGCACAGACTAAGAGCCAGAGTTCAACCTGAACCCACCTGCCACGTTGGCCAGTTCTGGGGCTTGTAACCGGTCTAGGGGTCTCTTCTCCTGGGGAGTGTCAATGCTGCTGGCGGGGGGGAAAAGGGAAAGCCTGGTTCATTGCCTCAATATCTTGTATATCTGCTTTCCTCACAAAGCAATGAAAAAGGTGTATGTAGAGAAAAACAGGATGTCCAAACTGCCCCACAGTGGTCTTCTAGCACAGCAGGGCCATAGTGACTAAGCTGTAGATTGGGCCTATTCAATTCTGCCAAATTTCAGGAGGCAGGCTGGCTAGGACCTTCAGTGAAATGGCCCCAAGTCCCCCCACCTCCTTCCATCAGGAACTTTGCCTACCAAGTTCAACTCTAAGTGAAATCAGTGGGTGAAGACCATGCTTAGCAGATCAGGAATGTGAAAAATGAGGCCTGGTAATGCTTACTTACTAGAATGCTGGTAAGTAAAGAGATTCAGGTGCCCGTGTCCTTCAAGGGGTTAGGGGAAGCCCCAGATATTTCCCCTACTTCAAGTGACCTCATCACCAGCCCTGAATAAGCTTCCAGTCTGACAATAGAAGGGAATAAACCCAGAGGACCTAATTTGCCAAATTCTACGCGGCACCTGCAAGGCCCTGGAATTCCTAACAGCACACACATACCCTCCCCAACTGCATCACCCCTGGCAGTGTCTTGGCAGTAACAGAGCAGGGGACAGAAATGGGGGAGACACTAGAGTCGATGGGCCATCCCCCCACAAAGGTGTGCAGCTGGAAGTCCTGGAGTGCTGGCTGGCTGCTGACCAACAGCTGTAGGGTAACTCGCTCACATCGCCATACTTACCCTGAGTTTCCTACAGCCAAGCTGTCAGCAGGAGCCGGGAGAGGACACTCCTTTTTGGCTGTAAAGAAATCATATTAGTTAAAAGCCCAACCAGATGTTCCAAATGGAGGTGGCAAAGATACCCAGGAGGACACCAGCTTTGCCTACACACCCCTGCTGAGCTCAGATCCAGTTCCTCCAGTGCCATCTAGATAATGACATTTTTTTCTGCTCAGAAATACCCACTCCCCACTGATACTGAGTCAGTCCAAATTGACAGGCCTAGCAGGCAAGGTTAAACATTATCTACCTAATGTCTTAGCCATAAACTGAAACAGGATCTCTCTACATAGCCCAGCCGTCCTGGAACTCACCATATATATATAAACCAGGCTGGCCTTGAGCTCTGAGATCTGCTTCCCAGTGCTGGGAAGAAAGGCACACATCATACTTGATATCAGACTTGTCTAACAAATGAATCCAAGACCACGCACAGGCTAAGCATGGGTTCTCCCATGAAACTACATCTCGAACACGTAGCCTACATGTCTCACTCTTCTGCTTTATAGTCTACAGGTATCTGTTACCAACTCAAGTCATCTGTGCAGATTCTTTGCCAATTATATCAATAAGATCCTCTAGAGGAGAATATAGTAACCTCTACAGCACCCAGCACCATGCCTTGAGAAAGTCAAGTTCCTCACTGCCTTCCAAAAGCATCTAGGAGGAGCCACCCTATACCGACCTCTTCTTTCTGCCTTATATACCACCACATATTCCATGAGAGCCCACCTCTGACGCTCAACAGAAGAGTTGCTGACCCCTAGGAACAATCCCCACCCATTCCCAATCTTTCTCCTATCTTCTCTTTAATTACTTATGCTATACCATCAAGTCCCTGGCTTAGACTACCTCCCAGGGGAAATGGTGCCTCCCTAAACCAATTAAGAGGTTCTTCTCGTGGTTGATTGCCCTCTACCCTCTACCCCTGTTCAAGCTACTAAAAGGCTATAAACTCAAAGGAAGTGTAAACAAAAAATAAAGTTGGAACAAAAAACCCCTAGGTTCCCTTACCTTCTGATTTCTCAAACTGCTCCAAGAGACTGGACAGGTCTGATGCTTCGATTCCTGTGAAGGAATACAAAAGGATTAAAATCTAGTCCTCATCAACTGAGCTCCCCAGTCTCCCCTTAGGCGCCTCCCTGTCCACCAAAGTAAGTGAACCCCAGGAGCAGCACACAGCAAGGACTCAAACAACTGGAGCACCATATCTCAGAGGACACCCCCAAGGAAACCCAACAAGGGCAGCCTCGTACAAGTTAGTCTTCCTGGCCTGTGGGCAACCCTTCCAGCCACCCACACACCCTTCTTGTGCTGACTGCACTGCAAAAGCCTATCACTCACCAATCTCGCTGATGAAAGCCTGTACCACGTCCTCAGGACCCTGAGAGCGTGGAGTGGGCAGGAAGGACAGCTTCCTTAGACGAGCAGGATGGACAGCAGGCAACTTTGGGACAGTGTTCTGCCTTAGCAAGGGAATAGCCTTGTCAGCTGCACAAAGGGGCTTCTCCCTTGTTCTGGTCTCCTCAGGCTTCAGCCTCTCTGATGCAGACTCCCCAACAGCTACACACTCAGCAGACAGACACGGTGGAGCCTTGATCTTAGGACTTTGTATCAGGGTAGACACTTTCTGTTTTGGTTGGGGAGACACAGGCACTGGCTGGACCTCCAGCTTTGTGGGCTCTCTTGGCACTGCCTGGACCTCCAGCTTTGTGGGCTCTAACGGCACTGGCTGGACCTCCAGCTTTGTGGGCTCTCTTGGCACTGGCTGGACCTCCAGCTTTGTGGGCTCTATCGGTGGAGGTGGAGGTGGAGGTGGAGCTATGGGGCTGGATGGCCCAGAACTTAGGGAAGAAGTCACTGGCACTGGAAGCGTATCTTCAGGAGGAACAGCTGGATTACTACTGGGTTCCACACTGGATGGGAGAACAGCTCCTCCAGTAGAGGCTGAAGACAAAGGAGGTGGAGAAACAGTAGACCAGAACGGAGGCTGTCGCAGCCCTGGGCCCCACCCCATGGGCCCATAGGCACAGCTGGAGCTGTAAGGTGAAACTGGTGCAGGAGGGGGTACCCAAGGCACATTGCAAGTTGGGGGTACAGCATAGGTACCAGGAGTACCAGACACCATGGGCACCGTTGGTTGTGGGGGCAGACAAGGATATCCAGAAGGGGGCACAGAGGGATAACAAGGCCAGGGTGGCACAGGGGCATAGTGAGTATAGGGGTCAGGTGGTAGTTGTCTCATTGACACTCTAAGTCCAGGTGGTTGCAAGGGAGGTGGGGGCAGACTGGGGACTCCGTGGCCACTTGAAGGAAGAGGAAGCAGAGGAGGTATGCCTGGAGGAAAAGGCAAAGGAGTGGGCACTGTGGAAGGGATGGGCCCAGGAGGAGACACAGACTGCAAGGTTGGAGGGGGCGGTCTAACTGGAAGGGGCATCTCATGAGATGGCACCTGTTCACAGTGAGTTGAAACCACAGGTTTGCTTGCAGATGGCTCAGGACTAGGGGAAGCAGAGGTGCTACCCACAGACCCCAAACCAGTCTCTGGTATAGCTACAGAGCTCCGCTGTGGAGCTGTCTTCTTGGCTGGGGCTGGTGGAACAAGACAAGGGATATCTGCCAGTCTTGTGGGGGTCTCTGGGAGACTAGGCCACTTGCCAACTGGGGGCTGAGAATTCCTGCCTTCTGCCTCTGTTTGCCGTTGCTGCCTTCGCTGCCGGTACTCAGATAGGCTGAGAGGCCGAGGTCTGGCTTCTTGGGTTGTAGCATTGGTGCTCCCTTCCACCTTCAGAGGACCTACACCACTCTTGACTTCAGGGGTGATGTCCTTGGGATGGTCTGAGGACTCTAGAGAAAGACGATTTCCCTGAGCTGCTGCTACTGCAGCCCGTCTAGGGTCGGTTGGTCTGCACTTAACTAGCACAGGGTCTACTGGAGCCAGGTCATTTGGAATAGGGTCAACGGTCACTGTGTTAGCTGGAGACAAGTTATCTGAAGTGGGAACAGTCACCGCAGGTTCAATTCCTGTCCTGTCAGCCAGGATGGGGCCAGTCAGCACTGGGCCTGCTGGGAGAGGACCAGCCAGCTCTGTACTAGCTGAAGCCTGGCCAACAGGTGTACAGTCAGCTTCAGCATGACCAAATGCAGCAGCATCAGCTTCAACAGAGTCAAGCGGCATGGGGTCAGCTTGAGCAGAGTCATTCAGTAAGAGAATGGGGTCGGCTTGGCTGGTCTCAGCTAGCTCAGGGCAGAGGTCTAGAGCATCTTCTTCAGCAGGATTACCCTGTCCTGCATTTCTCTCTAAGTTCTCACACTCGGAGTTCTCCAAGGCAGCTGCCCATGCCCGAGCCCACGCCCGTGGCTTCCCCCTGCTCTGAGGAACCTCAGCCTGTCTCTGAATTTCTTCCTCAGGCTGTTTCTGTAAGTTCCCTGCCTGGGAGTTCACCTCTGTAGCCACAGAAGACTGTCCACGAGAAGATGATCTCAGCCTCCTGGAATAGCCTTCCAAACAGACTGCTGGCTGTTCCTTGTTCTTCTTCTTCCTGCCCTTTCTGGGAACTCTCTGAGATTCCTGAATTGCATTGGCAGGTGGGTTCTGAGGCTCCCCGGGTGCCAATGACTCCATGATTTCCCTGGGCTCCAATAAGCAGGCAGAGTTCAATGATAATTCTTGATCAGGGCAAGGGGCAGCATTAGGCACCACAGCTTCCGTCCCGGCCTCCATGGTGGGCATGAATAGCTGCAGGGCACGACTGGTCTCTACAGACTCATCCAGGAGCACAGACTGGGACCCAGACGGAATCTGCCGCACCACAACCGGGATCTCCAGGTCATCACCAGCAGTGGCTGCCTGGCCCACTATTTCCAACACCACACAACCCTCGGGCAGGGTCAAATCATCAGCCTGTTCCTGAAGCTCATCCTCAAGTGACGCCAAGTGAGTGAGGCTGGGCAAGCAGTATGGATGCATGGCACGGACCAGCTCACTCAAGGAGGAGATGCTCTCGTCACCAGGTGCGGACGCTGTCACCTTTGCTGCTGTTGGCTTGTCTTCTTCCTCCGGGCATGCCAGGTGCATGGGGAAGTCCAAGCTGTTCACAGAGTTGTCCAGTTCTCCAGCAACTATCTGACCGCTGCAGTTGGCGAGCTCCTCCTCCTCTTCTCCATCACTGCGCTGCTGGGGGGGAGGGGACTGACCCCACCGAGGCCTTGATCTTGAGGGTCTCCAGCTAGGCAGCTTAGGGGAAGAAGTTTCCAAGAAAGGTGGAGGGAAGTCCCAAGGAGAATCTGCAAGGGACATCTCAACCTGCAGGAGACAAGAGCAGATTCAGAGGGTGTTCCTCAAGACATGCTTTCCAGACTAACCCAATGTCTTCCCCAAGCTGTGAGTTCATAAGGGTTCCCAGGTCAGGGTTACCCTACTCACCCTACTACTGCCTGTGCTAGGCCCCAAAGGGTCAATTGGGGTGATGAGGTCACGTTCTGGGGGTGTCCGAGAGAGAGTGAGTAGCTTGTGGAGCTAAGAAGAAGAGACCCTCCATCAGTTTGTGTGGTCATATCAACAGGCTCACAGATGGTGGCTGTGGCCTCGGTACCAGCCACATCCCACCCACCCCCATACTCACAGAGGAGCTCTCCCGAGGAGACACAAGCAGCTCTGAATCAGGGATGCTGTCAAATGGGGACAGGTTCTCAGAATCTGCGTTGTCCAAGATCTCTGTCAGAGCGGTGAGCAGTGACATTTCATTCTGGTCCTCCAGAGACAACCTGCTCTGCTCCAGAAAGACAAGAAGACCCCCCAGATCTCTAATAACCTACTAAGCCATAAAAAGAACTAAACACCAAGAGAATTAGTCTCCCAGCAAGAAGGATCTGAGTGCCAGGCAACATGGGTTCCTATCTTTTTCTACCTACCCACCCTCTAGTGCTAACAGAACTGAATGTGTTAGTTACACATTCAAGTAAGATGTAAGATGCTCAGGAAATCTTTCTGGGTTAGACCAGTATAAGGCTCAAAAGCAGAGACCAGAACCTCCTGCACATGTAGGTCAAAGAACCTGAAGAGATAAGCTTCAGAGCACAGCCCAAACTGAAGGCATCCCCCTTCATGGGCCAGTCAGACACTCTGCAGTCTAACTCTACCTATACACAAAAAACACCTTTCAAGGACTCAGGCTGGGCATCCAATAGGCCAAGGATCTGGGAGAACAGAGCCGTTTCTAAAACAACTCCAAAGAACTAAGAACAGAACACCCTATTCAAAGACCCTGTCTGAAGAACTCCAAGCCTTATCCCAGCTCACCTCTCCAAGACTCCCAAAATCCTCAATGAGGGAGATGAGGGAGGCATCCATGTAGCTCTGCATGGTCCCCAGTAGTGTCTCATCCTGCAGAATCAGCTCCTCCAGGTCATCCTCCTGGTGGACCTGAGGCAAAAGGCGGCAAGAGGATGACTCAGAAAGACCCAAGTCCTTGGAGGGCAGCTAATTAATAACTCCGCTAAAGGCGGGCATTGGTGGCACACGCCTTTAATCCCAGCACTCGGAAGGCAGAGGCAGGCAGATCTCTGTGAGTTCGAGGCCAGCCTGGTCTCCAGAGCAAGTGCCAGGATAGGCTCCAAAGCTACACAGAGAAACCCTGTCTCGAAAAACCAAAAAAAAATAAAAAAAAAAAAAAAAAAATAAAAAAAACCAAAATATAAATAAATAAAAGAGGAAAATAATAGATTCCAATTCCTTTGGTACAAATAATACTTAGGATAGTATGCATGTGTTCATTTATATTCTTCTGTGCATCAGAGGAATTTATATGTGCCTATATCCCAGTTACCCATTATGCCTTACAATGTCTTACAAACAAGATCCGTACTCCCTGTTCTTTGGTGCTGGTGACTAAACCCATTCTAAGACTCTACAACTGAGCTACACTGTTAGAGCCAATATGTTGATGGTAGTTCTAAGGGAAGTCTCTTTACCACTCCTACCAATGGGAGCTGAAGAGAAGGCATGATTCCACAGATGGGAAGGCCCCGCCTGTAAACTAGCAGTATCTTCAGCTTTGTCATGGGGCAGGACCCGCCCAGACCTGTCAAGTGTCATAGGCAGGGCATGGGCAAGGCCCAGAATGGAACTGGTGAGGCCTGAGCCACAGCTATGCATACCTGCTCTTTGAAGTATGGTGTAAAGGCCTGAGAAGAGTAGTAACACAGACAAGCCAGGCACCCCTCTGAAGCAAACAGATGTAGCACTTGGACTACTCCAAATGACAAAAGCAACAGGTATGACCATACCCCCTTCACACACCCAATCCTCTCTACAAAGGCGGAGTTGCAGGCCCAGGAAGGAAAGGCTGGTTTGGGACACTTTAAGGCCCAAAGCTAAAGTGAAAAGGCAGCAGGTTTTAGGGACTAACCCCTCCCATCTAGGTCTTCACAATCCTGTAATTACAACCAGGAGCTGAATAGCACCTGGCTCAGCAAACAGTCATAGGTGAGCAAGTAGCCCTGCCTCCTCCCTTGTACAGCCCAGGCCACTAGGCCAGACCGGTCTGGCCCTATAAACCATCATCTCTACCTCCTCTCAGCAGGTGCTGGAGGCTAAGACAGAGACATCTGTTTCCCTTTATACCATCCACTTCATCCATACACTTTACAATCCCCAGGTAAGACAGTTCCCAAGGGGTCCAGATCATGCAAAACTAAGTCCAAGCCAAAAGTGAGCTGGACACTAGCTCTCTAAATGCCAGCAGCCTCTCAGCTGGCTTTCACACATCAAGTCTGCTCATCTAGAATCCAAAGCCAACTTTAGTGTTTTGAGACAAAAATCTCATGTAGCCCAGGCTAGTCTTGCACTTGCTATGTAACAAAAAAGGCTATCCTTAACCACCACCACCTTCCCCCACCCCAGACAGGGTTTGTCTGATTAACAGGTCTGGCTGTTCTGGAACTCACTTTGTAGACCAGATTGGCCCTGAACCAGAGATCAGCCTGCCTCTGTCTTCTGAGTGTGGAATTAAAAGGTATGGATAAACTCTTGATTATCCTACTTCTAAGCTCAGCCCAGAAACTTTTTCTAGACACTTTAAAGTATGTAACTAGTAGAGTCAGAGCAACAACCAGAACAGGTCATTTCTAGGACCATCTTAAGTCCCTTCAAAAGGCATGGGGGAAGAGGACTACACAGAGAAACCCTGTGTCCAAAAACAAAACAAACAAAAACCAGCAAAATCCCTTCAATATCTTACTACCCTTAACAATGGATTTAAAACTTCTTATAATGGCTTATGCCTTGGTCTTCCAGCCAGCCTTTTTGCCAGCTTGGTCTCTCCCATTCCACCCTTTTGTTAGGCCTGCCTTTCGGTTCTTCTCATAAGCCATATGAGAAGTTCTTCACACAGGTCTGATAAAAGTTTTTCATACAGTTCATTCTTGGGGAGGGGTTTTTTTCAATTTAAAATGTCTCGATGACTCAAAGACTCTTCAAGTTATATTACTACTGATAATTATACAATTACAAATACACTTTCCTTCTCACCCACCATTATTCACTCACTGTTTATCCTGCACGGTTCACATCTGTGTGGTTTAGCAATACATCTTTACTTAAGGCAAAATACAAAAATGAACGTTCTACAACTGACCCACAACCCTTAGCGGGGGACGTCAATGTGAAGTTTCTTTTAAAACACCTCCCTTGGCCGGGCGTTGGTGGCGCACACCTTTAATCCCAGGCTCCAAAGCTACACAGAGAAACCCTGTCTCTAAAACCAAAAAATATATATAAATAAACAAACAAATAAATAAATAGAGCACCTCCCTCTTCTCTGCCTACTAGCTACCAAATGCTACCTGAATACCTCAGTTCTAGCCCCACCTTCTCTAGGATTAACATTCCCATTCTCATTTCCAACTACTGGGTTGGCTAACCATGTAACCCACTAGAGCTGGATCTTGCACCCCTATTGTTTCTCCCAGATGGTTATGTTGTGAACAGTACTGGCCACCTCTTATAAAAAAGATGGAGGAAAAGGGTAGTTGATCCCAATGTCATCCCCTAGACTGTTCTGTTGAACCTAGTATTACTGGGAAGCCTACAACCCAGTCTCTATCACTCAAAGACTCTTCAAATTATATTACTACTGATGACTATACAATTCCAAATACACTTTCCTTCTCACCCACCATTATTCTTCACTCACTGTCTATCCTGCACGGGGGCGGGGTTGCTGTCAAGGACTCTGCTTAAATTGCTTCAAGAACACAAGTAATTCCTGCTCACTCACTCCTAATGTGATTGAGCATTTTCGGAATCCCAGCAATGAGCAGTAGGATAAGAACACTTTTAAGTAAGGAGAACTGAAAGACACACACACACACACACACACACACACACACACACACACACAAAATTCGGCACCATTAAATATTCAGCCAACGCTAAACAGTTTCCCAATCATCTCCTACTTTTCTTATTTCCATCAAAAATATCAGAAAGTCTAACACAGACACAACTCACAACAGTTGTATTTATGAGTTCACCGGGGCACGCCTTAATTATCTCCTCCCAAAAAGATGCTAGAGAAAAAGTGAGGGGGAAAATTAACCTAGTCCCAGGTAAGCTGACACTCCCATGACCCTTGATTGACATCTGAAGGACTCGAGGCAACCAACGTCGCCAGGGTCTTGTGACTCACAACCCACTCACTCACTCCACGCCGATCAGACAGAAGCCCCCACGACCTCATCCCTCCACAGCCCTTCATCTTCAGTCCTCAAACCCTCACCTCACACCCTGCCATGTCCAGCAAGCCGCCAGTGAGAACATCTGGAAAGCCCATCATCTACCGACGCCAGGCGTTGCAGCCCGGTGCAACAGGGAAGGAACTCTTGTAAGGCTCTGAGGAAAGTTGCCTCCAGCAGCCCCTACCTCCAGGCCAGAGGTCCCCAGCACAGGCCAGAGATGGCGGGAGAGGCAGAGACACACCCAGTTC